GTATGAAATGTGATATTAAATTCTTATGAATTGGACACTTCCCATTGGTTTTTAGTCTAATCAGATTATTTCATTAAGGAGCTACGTTACATTAGTATTGCAACTGTACAAAGGCTTTAAGAAATCTTTTGTTATGTGTATACCATAGACAGACATGTCTGTTTTCGTTTAAAAATCTTACTTATTTTATGAAATGTGCCTTTTACCAATTGATTCTCCCCTGCTGTTCCCTATCAATAACCATCAGTTGTGCTTTTACAACAGCGGACCTGGGTAGCCCGGCATGTTGTGCTGTATAGTTTGTGTGGTTTGTTGTATTCAGTCCTCTCTCAAAGCCAGTGACGGACGTATTATTTTCTCTCATTTTATAGATGAGGACAGCTTGTTTACTTGCTCGAAATCACACAGCTAGTTAGTGCTAGAACCTAAGCCTTGGCTTGAAACTGTCTGTTTTTGACTTCAAGTCTTCACTCATAACACAGGGATATCTTGGTGGTATTGGGATCATGGCTAGGAGGTGTCTGTTTCATTTATTGCAGTCACAAACATGTGGCAAAGTCTACTTCCAATTAACTGCATTTCCTGCCCACAGAGCTTAGACTAGAGCCACGCATATATCCTTAATATGATGATAAGCAGTTTATCTTTTTCTATTATGTAGCAAACATAGGGATGAAAATCTGCTACTTTGTGCTTTAAAGTAATGTCTCCAATTGTGGGGGGAGGGAAGGGTCCTTCCTCATAAATTCTCCCAGCTCAATTTCTTCAGGTGTTTTCTCTGCACTCTCTTCTAATATTTTTATAATTTCATGTCTTAAGTTTAGCTCTTTTGTCCAGTGAGAATCAATCTTTGTTAATGATGAGAGATGGGGGTCCAGTTTCATTCATCTATAGGTCACTAGCCAGTTCACCCAGCACCATTTGTTAAGTAGGAAATCTTTCCCCCAATGAATGTTTTTGATAGGTTTGTCAAAGATCAAATGACTATAAGTAGCTGGGTTCATCTCTTGGTTCTCTACTCTGTTCCATACATCTACCTCTCTGTTTTTGTGCTGGTACCAGACTGTTTTGATTGCTATAGATTTATAGTATAGCCTGAAATCTGGTAATGTGATACGTCCTGATCTGTTTTTATTTCTGAGTAGTATATTTGCTATTCGAGCTAAAAAACTTCTGTACATCCAAGAGCACAGTAAATAAAGCAAACAGACAGCCTTCAGAATGGGAAGAGATATTTGCAGATTATGCTTCTGACAAAGGTCTGATAACTAGAATCCACAGAGAGTTCAAACTAATCAATAAGAAAAGAACAAATAGTGCTTGCTTTGACAGCACATATACTAGAATTGGAACGATACAGAGAAGATTAGCATGGCCCCTGCTCAAAGATGACACTCAAGAAAAGAACAAATAACCCCATTTCTATGTGGGCAAGAGGCTTGAATAGAAACTTCTCTGATGAAGACCAAACACATGAAAAAATGCTCATCATCTTTAATCATCAGAGCAATGCAAATCAAAATCACTTTGAGATATCATCTAACTCCAGTAAGATTAGGCCACATAACAAAATCCCAAAACTACAGATGCTGGCGTGGATGTTGAGGGAAGGGAGCACTTCTACAGGGCTGGTGGGAATGAAAGCTAACATGACCTTTCTGGAAAGATTTTTTTTTGGAGGATACTTAAGGAACTAAAAGTGGACCTACTGTTTGGTCCTGCAATCCCTCTATTGGGTATTTACCCAGATGATCAAAAATCATTTTATAACAAAGACACTTGCACCAGAATGTTCCTTGCAGCCCAATTCATAATTGCCCAGTCATGGAAGCAGCTCAAGTGCCCATTGACCCTTGAATGGATTAACAAATTGTGGTATATGTACACTGTGGAATACTATGCAGCCATAAAAAGATGGAGACTTCACATCTTTTATGGTTACCTAGATAGAGTTGGAACATATTCTTCTTAGTAAAGTATCTCAAGAATGGAAAAAAAGGTAGCCATTGTATTCAATACTACTATGAAATCAATATATAATCACCTACATATTCATGGGAATGATAAAACATAACTACTGTTCAGAAAAAAGGAGGGAAGAGGAAGGAGAGGGGAGGCTATGGGGGAGAAAGGAGGTGGGAGGGTATTTGGGGGAACCTCACCTAATATTCATAATGCAATGATACATTTCTAAACTATTAAGAATAGAGTATGAATGTCTTACCACGACAAGTAAGCGAGGAGTTGGTTATGTTAACCAGTTAGATATAAGCATTCCACATTGTATATCAAATTAGCACATTGTACCTCATAAATGCATTTATGTACACAGTTATGATTTAATAAAGAATTAAAAAAATAATGGCTCAAAAAGGAAGTAGACTAGATTTAAATGAATATGTGATGTATGTTCTCTCCACATGATCTTGTACTTCATCTTTTACTTTTTCACAGTGAAATTTTTGGAGTAGAAGACAGGAAATCATATTCAAGTGGAGCTTTTACTTAACTACATTGGGGTTTAAAAGGTTAAAAGCATTGTAAGAATTTCATCTATAATGTGGCCTATGTTACACTTTTAGTCTTTTAATTACTTGTGATCAAATATTTGGAACTAATTAGAAATTAAAGTTCTTCAAAGTTACAGGTCTGGAATACATAGGGCTTTTAAAAAATGCTTTTGATTGAAGATAATAAGTAAATTAATAGGGGAGAGAAGAAAAGATAGCAACTTGAAGGAGGATATTCTCTCATGCATATGGTTAAAAAAGACCCTGGATACAATCGTAGGAGAAATGGACAACTTTGTAGCATCCTGAACTTTTTGAAATGTCTGTCTTAATTTGTTTTTAGGAATTGATTATTCAAAGTGGATTAAAAATTGTTAGTAAAGTTGACTTTTTTAAACGAATTTTTTGGTATTGGTTTCAGAAAGCCAGTGAATAGATGAGATATTAGCTGTATTAGGAGACAGTTTTTTTTTAAAAAAAGAATAGTTAAATTATATTTTTAAAAGTTTGCTTCATATGGAATTTGTAGTTACTTTTCTGTGTGCTTGTTCTTTAATAATGGGATAATTTAGATTGTGAATGCAATTATGATAGCTTGTTAATCGTAGGCATACTAAATTGCTTATCTTTATACATTTTTAATTTGACTCCTGATGTGATGAGGTTTGATAAATTAAGAATGGCAATACTTTTCAAAATTCTAAGGTCACTTAATAGGAGAAGTTAAGAATCTTTAAAAAAGAATCACAGTATTTAGATTATCTCTCAGTTACATTCTAAATTTTTATAGTCTTTTAAAGTATGCACTATACAATTGTGGACAGAAAAATCCTCAGGGCGTGGCATGCAAACCACGGTAAACCCTACATTCTCATTTATATGCCGTCTCTAACACATTTTTAAGTGTTAAAAAAAATATGATAACTGTCATAATTGTTGATAGAAAATAATTTTCAAAATTTAAGGATGCTCTTAAATGTTTGTATTTACAAT